AATGCTGTGGCAAGCCTAGAGTAACGGATGGCAAATCGCCCATGCCCTTGCGGGACAACATAGGTGGGGTCCGCTGCCGCCTCATCTTCCTCTGTTGACTCTTCTTCAGACAACTCCAGAGGGTCAGCCACCCCACTGGCACCGGCTGCGCATACCTGCGCGAGGGTTCCCTCGTGCCTGTGACGCCTGAGTCAGCATCTGACTCGTCAAAGCGAGTATCCATTGGGGGGTGCCTGGCCTCTGCCAGGTCCGATCCTGTTTTGCTTCAGCACTCTCCAAGGCATGACACCAGTGGACGAAACGGAGTCCTGTAGCTACCTATTGATCATCACGAATGGAGGCCGTGCCAATTTGCCATGTATGACCCAGCCGGCTGCACAGCATTGGGTGTATACCAATGAGCGGTTCACATACTTCCTGGGCAACCCGTGCACTGGTTGGCAGCATGAGACTCCAGCGGTGTTGCCCAGCAACCCCGGATCGCTCAGCTGCGCTTTGCGCTAGTTGGAAGTCTAGGGGACTGTCAGGATTGGTGGCTGCATAGCCAAGACCAATTAACAGCCCTTCGGGCAGCTCCAAGTCAGACTTTCGATGGGTCACTATACTGTAGGTCGCTTGCAGCGCACCGGCGAAAGAGGACGTGGCAACTGCGCCTTCTGGTCGGAACCAGGTGCGTCCCAGCGGCATTTGATTGACAGTGTGGGCAGCCCGCTCAAGGTCGTCTTGACGAAAGCCTCGGCAGTGATGGAGGAGCGTGCCTCAGGCTCGCAGCCCTATCGGAGCTTTGAGAAGGAGCGTTCTATGAGCTCTCTGGTCCTCTGCTACTCCGCCTGGGCTTTGCTTGGGGTCGCCGAACATTGCCCGGAAGAAGGGTTGCCGGGGGACCGCCGGGGCAAAAGCCGACTTCAGATCCATGTCTTGCTGGGCCTCCTCGCTGATCAGAAGTCGACATTCTCCATGTGCGTATTGAGTGCCGAGTGGCTCTGTCCTTTGGCCTGGCTGGCCTGCAGGTCAAAGACGCTGGCTGGCCTCTGTCTCTTCTCTGCCTACAGGTCGAATGAAAAATTGCTGGCGTTCAGGTTGCAACTCGAAGGTGGTGAGCAGCTTCGTAATTGCTTGGCCCGCCGGGTTTTCTTTGTGCACCACAGCAATCTTTAGATGGGTGGTGAGGGCCAGCCATGCGAGCAGAAATGTGAGAGAGCGCGTTTTACCTGCCCCAAAAAACACCTGCGGGTGGACCTGCCCGACCGCAATGCTGAGGCCAGGCTGGAGGCAAGTGAGGCAATGTGCCCATTGTCGTTTCGAGCTGTCGCGCCGAGGGCTTTAGCAAAGGTAGCCGCCTGCGGACAATACGAAAGCGTATCACCCCTGGCCAGCATCAGAGCATGCAAATCGCACACTCGTGGCCAGGAATGCCCAAAACTGGGCTTGTGCTCAGCAGGCAAGGTAGCCATTTGGATGAGGGTGATCAGCAGTATAACCGAGCCCCCAACTTCTGCAAAGGCAACCACTCGGAACCGCGTCGGCTTGGATTCCAACACCTTGAGGCTGGGCGGAAAATTCCAGCTGACTTGACACGCTAGGCCAGTCTCTGCTTGGGTGGGCAAGGGTGCAAAGTCTTCAGGGAAGGGAACAAGGGCAACGTCCCAAGCTCTATGCTCAGTCGTCGGTCCTTGTCATACGGTGACTCCTCTCCTTTTTGGTTTGACTTCTTCCTGGCCTGTGTAGTGAAGGCCAGTATCAGCAGGAGTGCGAGTACCGAAAAGCATGTGTCCCCTTCCTGCAGTGCGACTCTATAGGCCTTTCCTACTTGGCAGCCCATGTGCACTTCGTTTGAGTTTCTTTCAACTATATAGTTGATCAAAAGTGAGGTGTTGGAGATGGGCTGGGCAAAAAGCTGCCGCTGTAGATCAAGGGGGGAAGGCAATGCGATACTCGTGCATCCCCTGAAGTCCGGCTGCAGTGGGTGTTCTCTCGACTTGGAGACCGCGCTGCTTTACCTCAGGGCTGGCGCATAGGCTTTGCTGTGTGCGCGCTCCATCCAGGAACGTGAGTTGCGGGAGGAAAAGGGCCAAGGGCCTTCTCTAAACGGTATGGGCGCCAGCAGGTCCTTGGCCATGTCAGTTAGCCATTGTGCACATTCACTCTGGTTGTCCTTGCCTACTCTGAAGTTTCGTAGCAGGAGCGACTGCGCTTCCTCCATAGACGCAATTTCTTGCCCTGCGACGCACAACTGGAGGAGACGGAGGAGTTCCTGATCTGGTTGGTGAAGATTTGATACTAGCATGCTAATTGCTCCCTCCCAATCAGCACTTGCCATGAGGGTTTCGAAACGAATCCATGAGGCCAGTCGCATGGGCGCAGCAATCCTGTCCCGGTTGGGGATGACCTCTGGGTGAGAAAGTTTAAGATCAGTGAGTCTGACTTGCCCTTGCGGGAGCTGACAGTAGCCAGTGCCAATAGTTGTGTTTGCTACTACCCATCCAGCGTGCCGATTCTTCCACGTAGGTGATGTGGAGGGCTTGTTGCAGCATCTTGAGCTCCTTTTCATCTGGCTTCCAATCGCAGAGGCAGTCCTCAGCTGCATGAACCAGGTAGTAGTGATGTTTATCCGGGTCAGCAGTGGCTATCAGAGCAGCCAGAACTCCCTTGGGCATGGCAATGGTCCCCAACCTCGCTGTGACCTGACATTGCGGCCATAGGCAACGAACTGCTAAGGCAATCACTGCTCCGGTATAGCTTCCTGCACTAAAGCCATTAACTGCGAAATGAACTGGAACCGGTTGTGTCACTTCCCGAAGACAGCCAAGCATCGGCAGACAAGCAAGTAACTGCAAAGGTTGCAGGGAAAGCAATTTCCACCAGAGTCCACTGAGAAAGGCCTTGTGTGGGAGTCGTCTGTGCGCTGGGAGGAGGCGAGCGGCCTTCAGTACTCTTTGTGTTCTTCGGTACAATACGGCCGCCTTTCCAAGGCCTAATTCTTCCCATTTGCGACAGGGATCCTGTATGTGCGAAAAGAGAGTAGCGACCTCATGAATGCCAGTCGTGCATCCTGCTGCAACTTCAACATGCCCTTGCTGCACTATATCGGCTGGCGTGAGTGATGGGCCATAAACCTGACTCTCTCCGACGCAATGAAAGTGCGGGGGGATGCTGCCCTCCAAGGCACCCCTCCCTAGGCCACCACAATTGATTTGCAGTACTTGCGGGAGCGGCAGAGCATCGTATCCTATCCAGTATGCATTCTGTTGAGCTACTGTCCATAGGAGAGTATTCCAGGAAAATTTGGCTTGTTGCCGTTGGTATATGGCTTGAAACACTTCTGTGGCGATTTGCTCCAAGGGCATAATCTGGTCTTTGAGTTGTTCCAAGAGGTCAGCATTATCAGCGAGGAAGAGTTCTTTCTCCCCAGAAAACAAGCAGTTGGGCTGGGCCAAAGCTGCACGGAGCTCCTCGTACGGGCAAGCCTCACTGTCCTTATGCACAGCTGTCACGCCACGCGCATTGGCTACCTGATTCCACGGCACGAACAGAGGGGGAGACAGGAGCTGCGGGCTGGCAGTCGGCTTGCTTGATTGGACTTCTTTGGCGCTCCCTCTTGGGGCTGACGTAACAGCTTGGGTGAGGTGTGTTGCTCTATTTTCCGAATTATTAGACGAAGGAGTGTCAGCTGACTCCAAGTCTTCATTGTCTCCATCGGCTGGACAACAGCTAAGGCTGTCACCCTGCACGTTCTCTGGGAAGAGCTCTGACGCTGGCCTGTGGACGGCTCGCCACCTCAGCAACAAACAAAAGCGCAAGGCACTGTTACCTACTATACCGGGGCAGTATCCCGTGAACTTACACCCCCCTATTGGTTTCCAATTATCAGCACTCCAAGCCGGTGGAAGGTTTGGCATGCCCAAGATGGCCAAGGGCAGCGTTTCCCAGCCTTGTTGCTCAAGGTCACGCAATGCTTTTTGCGCTCCTATTTTGGCTTTACCAAAAGAAGATCCTAGTATGGTTCTTGTGCCATCTTTGTACAAGATTGGCTGAGTGCTGTAGTGCGGCAAGCAGCTTCTGGGAGCTGTAGCTGGCAGTTTCGTAGTGCAAATGTAGTGCGGGAAACAATTTCTGGGAGCTGTGGCGTCAGAACTGTCAACTTATGTGGCTAAATTACATCTGCGTACGTGAGTGTCGTACGTGAGTGTCCCACAAGAGTGTTCCGCAAGAGTGTTGCACAAGAGTCCACAAAAGTGTCCTGCAAAAGTGTCCTGCAAGAGTGTCTCGCAGAGTGACGAAAGTGTCGCACGAGAGTGTCCCACAAGAGCGTTCTACAGGAGCGTCTCCTACAAAACTGTCAAAAAATGTTTGGGCGTTGGTCTTGAAGTACGTGTTTGCGTTCGGGTTTGTGGGTTCCATCTTTTTATACCTATTTGGGTCCATACATACTTGTGCTTTTGCATTTTGGCATCAACGTCGCATGTCCATGGGCATGTCTTCCAAAAGTGAACATTTGTGCTACCCTTGCAGCAAGCCAAACAATGGCAACCCAGTCGTGAGTGGTTACTACTTCAATAGTCGTGGTTGAGAGTTTTCAACTAACTGACAGTAACTAACAAAACTCTAGGTTTCAAGTCGTGGGTCGTCCCAAAATAATTTCAACACGGTTTCATCCGCTACATCAATGGTCGAAAGGACATGTTTTCAGTTGATGTCAGTTTTTGGTTCAAATCTTGTGATGTTATATCCCAACCCGAATCTTTGGCAACCGTTTCTACTGGGTTCCACTCGGTTGCTCTGATTCTGAGGCACTATCAGAGCATGCATGGCGCAGCTGAAAGATTGCAACATGTTAGCACGCATCACTGGTATCAGTGTATATTTTGAACGTCGCGTAGTCATTTCCGGGTTTTGCTGCGGGTTGGGGAGCACTGTTGGGGGTTGCATTACACTGAGAATACATCTATATATATATATATATGTATAAATGACAGTTTTTGCATCGCACGACAGTTGAACAAGTCCTTGCAAACTCGTGCATCTTCTTTGCGGCGTTTGAGTCAGTAAGTTGCTTTTGGAAGGAAGTAAATCGACAAACCCCGCTGATTGTCATTGCTTTTGTGGCTCAAGCAGTGCAAACGCCCTTGCAACACCTTGTCCTTCGTTCCCGTTCCTTTCTTCTTTGACACAATGGGCCTTGAGGCACACTTGCAGCATGCATCCCTTTTGAAGAAGGTCGCCGAGTCCATGAAGGATTTGTTTCTTGGAACAATCGCGCACACCTTCTTTAAGCTAGCAGTTGAGGATAGTGATGGGGTTGATCATTTCTAATGATCCTTTGATGTAGGTTCTCCCTTTGTATGCATGTTCTGCAAGCGTCCCTACATTAATTTGCTTGTCCTGTTCTGGCTGTTTTGCATGGAATAAGGTGCAAGGACGTGAATTTCGACTGCTCCGAGAAGGGCATTGAGGTGCAATGCATGGACAGCTCGCATGTAGCATTGGTCTCTGTGCTGCTGAGAGAGTCTGCCTTTGCTGAGCTCTCAAGCAACATTTGAGCACATTGTACTCCTTTCTCGTTTGTCTTTCTGGATTCCTGTCAAATTGAACCCCAATCTCAAGGGAAATCTTGCCAGACAGTACATATATATATATAAGTATGTTGAAGTTGCAGCTTTACTATATATTGTATTGTATTATATTATATCATATCATATCATATCATATCATACCAATATAATTCAATACAATATAATTTACTGTAATGTAATCTAATGTAATATAGATAATATAATACAATATAATATAATATATATAATATTACACACACATCCACTCACTCAAACAGTGGAGCATGCTTTGATCCACCACTGGATTCTTTGCGAACTCGGTCCCAAGGTTCAAGTGTGATCGTCCAGTTTCGCTTGGCATGAACATTGACTCGTTGACCAAGATCATGAAAATGACAGGTGCAACTGACTCGTTGAAGATTCGACACCAGACAGATGCCGACACAGTGAACTTCCAGTGTGAAGGCTCAGATGATCGCATTGCCGACTTTGATTTGAAGCTGATGCAAATCGAGAGTGAACACATGGAAATCCCGGAGCAGCACTACAAGGTTGTCGCGAAGTTGCCTTCTTCTGAATTTCAGAAGGTTTGCCGTGACCTGAAGGAGTTTGGCGAGACCATTCAGATCAGTGGCAGCAAAGAAGGGTTGAAATTCATGGTGCAGGGTGATCTGGGCAGCGGCAATGTGATGTTGAAGCCTCGTGAGGGAGAGAAGCCCGAGGAGAAGGTATCACTCACAGTCCATGAACCAGTTACTGCCACATTTGCGCTTCGCTATTTGGTGAATTTTGCGAAGGCCTGCAGAATTGAAACAAGCAGTTTGTGTTTAGTGACTTTGACCGATTCTTGTCAAATAGGTGCAGGCTACTACCGGCAGAGTATACTTGTAGCAAAAGGTGTTACAATCACTTATCTAGGAAACATTTGGGAAATGATTGCATGGACTTGGACTCTGCTTGGAGCACACAGGCAGAGAAGCTTTGTGGTTCTGTTGAACTGGGTCTTAGTCCTGATGCTCCCCTGCTTGTGAAGTATGACTTGGAGACTGCAGACAAGGGCCACATGCAGTTCTACCTTGCCCCAAAGATTGACGAGTGATGAAGTTGCTCTGATTCTGAGGCAGTATCAAAGCAGGTAGTGCTGGAAGACTGCAGTATTTTAGCACGCAACGTCGTGTATGAGCGTAGTCATTTGCGGGTTCTGCTGGGGGCTGGGGAGCACTGTTGGGGGTTGCAGTGCGCTGAGAAAATGACAGCTTTTACATGGCATGGTCCGGAAGTCGAGCAAAGTTCTTACATTGGTTGTTGACATTTTTTTGATGATTGGTTCAATATATTGATTTGCTCATCGAACTGCTGTATTTCAACCTCGTATCATGGGTGGTTTCCGATGTAAGCTATCTGGCATGAACTGCACTGATACTGCACCCGTTGGACGCAGCTGTTGAACGCTCAACCGCTCCGATCAGACCTGCCGAGTTCGCGTGACGTACATGACCTTCCCGACGGAAGGTCGAGGTGTGTGGGCGGCAATGCTGTGTGCTGTCTTTACGAACCTTTTCTTGGTGCCTTGGATGTGAGTGTTTTGAGGGGATGTGTGGGTGGGAACGTGTTGAGCAGGGAAGTGTTTGAGGGGATGAAAGCTAAAGCTGAGTCCTCCAACAAGAGACATTGGATCTTGACAAAGTCATCACCAAGGTGAGCCCAGGCTTTTGGAACTTTCAGACTTGTCTCACAAAGAGTCAAAGACGTTGTTGGCCCTTGACGTGAGGTGCTCAGCAAGATCATGCAAGGTGACGGATGGCCCTTCTTCTTTGTAGCCGGCTCTGCAGCTCTCTGTGTGGCCGCAGGCTTGGTTGTGTTCATGATTTGCCAGGACTCCTATCACCTACAGCGCCGTGAGGTGGGGACCAGGTAACAAAGCGGTGGCCACCTACCGTATATCTTTTTTGGGAGTTCTTTTACCCTTCGTTTTTGTCAATCGTTTTGGCCCTTTGCGTGCGCATTGTCCTTCTTCCTCCTTCAATCTCATGCTAGCAACGTTCCTTTCCTTGGAGGCTTCGTCGAAGCTCTTGGGCTTCACACCCTGCCAGGTGAAGTGGGTCATTCTGCGTGGTCTTTTTGGCTGCGCCAACAACGTGCTGAGCGTTTCAGCCATACTCGCGGGCGCGCATATCGGCTCGGTGGGGGCCTTGTTAAGCGTGAACACCGTGGTGGCCGCCTTGCTGGGGCGATTAGTCCTTGGAGAGGCACTGGGGAAGTTGCACATCCTGGCAGTCTTCTTCTCTTTGGCAGGTGCCATATTGATCTCAGATCTGGATCAGGTGAGATGAGCAGAGAAAGTACAGAGAGAGAGAGAGAGAGAGGGAGAGGAAGAGAGAGAGGGGGGGGAGAGAGGGGGGGAAGAGAGCGAAGATGAGTTTTTGATGGCGATGCAGTCATGCTTGCAGGGATAGGGGATGGTCATGGCAAACCTTCAAGCATGATGTGGAATGGTCAGTGAACAAGCGAGATGTTGAAACTTCACTCAGTAAAGTCATTTGCAGCAGTCTGTGGTTTGTCATCCCTTTTGAGCACCACTTGCTCTTCAAATCTCAACCATTGATTGGAGCTGAGACCCGGGTCAAGCTAAGACTTGTTTAAGAACCCAGTCGTTTCATTCTTCTCCTTCCAGAGGTGATCAACTTAGACTCCACGGCCATGCTGGGGAACGCCTTGGCGCTGTCGGCGGGCGTTTGCCTGGGCTGTATGTTCATCAGCTCTCGGAAGTCGGGCTCCGCGTCCTCCACCATGCTGACGGCCTCCGCGATGGTGCAGCGCTGGGTGGTTTGCTGGGCTCCTTGGAACGCCTCCTTTGGAAGAGCCAAATGTGTTTGAGGTGTTTTCATCATGGCATTGATGCCAAGAACGATTATTGGTGCAGGAAGGTTACTGTATATTGGGAGGGTGTCTTAGTTTGATGTTTTTTTAGCTGTTTGGCATTCTTCGGGGATTTGGTCAAATGATCTGAGGCCTTGGCCATTCTTCCTGTGGTACCAGATGGTCATTTTGAACTCCTGTGGAGCTCGCCTGAGAAGACCTGGCAAATAGAAAGCAAAGCTTTTTCATTTGAAACCCGAAGAGATGGGCCATGTCTTGAAGAGTTGCAAGGGACTTGTACATTCATAGGATTTGAATAATTTAAGGCGCATAGTTTCCAGTCTACTCACTGTCCTAAACATGTATATATGTGAACTTATATCGCTGAGTGAAGCCGTCTTCGAGATTCCGAGCGTTTGAGATGTTGAGGAAGACCCTTGTCTTCTTGGCATCCTGCATCTTCCTTCTGTTTGTGTCGAACCTGGCGCAAAGTATGGCAGCCAAGCTTTGCCCTGCTGCGTTGAGCTCCACGCTCATTACGGGAACTCAAATGGCTAGCGGCTTTTTGCTTGACGTCTTTGTCTTTCACAAGGTGCCACAAAACAAGATCTGAACAATAGGGAGATGGAGATAGTGAGAAGATTTTGATGTTGGTGGTTCATGTGTCATGTGTTGATCCATCTAACGCAAAAACCCACACTTCAGAGGAAAGTGGCTGACACTGAAAGCATCACTGCCATGGCCAATCTTGGCACTTCCAACCCGAAAGCTGGAAATGCATTATTTCCAGCCTTGTGGCATGACAGTTGCATTTTTCCTACCCTACATAGTCATGATATGAGCTGGGGCGACTTCATCCCATGTTCATCGCTATTACTTTTATATTTATCTTTAGCTTCCAACGAATGTTCTTTTTTTCTGGGCTTCCCAAAGCGATCTCTGAGGTGCCAAAGGCCCTGACTCTGCTGGGTGCCTCCTTGATGTTCTTCGCCGTGATCACCATGGCCCTCACGCGTCTGCCACGACGCGCGCGAGTCGCGGATCCTCCGCAGCAAGTGCCTCCGGCGGAGGCGGAGGCGACGGTGGACACGCCCAAGAGCTTGGCGTCCTTCGCCGCCTCCGAGTACGCAGAAAGGGAGGTTCGTTGGGATGTTTTCTTTGTTTTTGGGTCTGGCGAGCGGGGCCTTTAGTTTGGGCCTGATCTTAATGATATGATTTCACGTTGAGGGATTGTTTTTTTTGGGTGAAGCGGTACTTCTGGCGAAGCTTTGGGGCCACAGGTGGAGCACCTCTCCGTCCCTCGGCAGCGTCTGGCCAACCTGCAACGAGTCTTTGGAATGCAAACGGCGATGGCGTGAGATGGGCCGAAGTTCTTTCACTTGCTGATTTGTTACAGAATGAATGATGATTTTGATCCCAGACTCTTGGCACAAATCTAGTCCGAAGCGAGATGCGGTTTGGACCTTACTTGAAACCAGCCTTAGGATTTGATATGTGCCAACTGTCAGGAAGGCTTTCAAGCTGCTTCAGAAGCACCCCGGTGCTTCCAGATATGGTGATTGAAAGTATTTGGAAGCACAGGGTAAGGCAGCAGCAGCCCGAATTTATTTTATACAGCAAAGCCCGCTTGGAGGCAAGGGGCACCAAGTGCTTGAGAATGCATTAGGGTTACGAAGGCCCTAGAACTAGCTTGAACAGGCTCAGGAAGCAGAAAAGCAGACGAGCTTTTGCTCCTCACCCCGGTTACCCCAACGTTAAGAGAGTGCTCTTTGAAAGTCCACAGCTTTGAGCTTTGAACATCCTTTTGTTCCAAATCAGCTTTCTGAGGATTCAAGCTTTTGGTCGCTATTTTTATCCCCGATGCTGCAGCATTTTGCTCAACCCAAAGATTCTGCGATCATGGCGTCTTGCTTCCATTTGAAACGAGATGAGATCTTCCCTCAGGTGGCAAAGAAGTTCCCACAGGCCATTCAGGGCTGTGCGTGTGGCCACAGCAGAGAACCCACCGCCTGTGACAGGTTAAACGGTTATGGTCATGGTGACTGGTCGGCTAGTTCATTAGAGGTTTTCTCATGGATTTGACCACGGATTTGATGCTCACCCGCTGATTTTGTGCAGGCAACGGACTGGCTTTGCCCCATTCGAGGGCTCATCATGAAGGATCCTGTCACTGCGGAGGACGGCTTTAACTACGAACGGGAGGCCATTCAAGAATGGTTTCAGCGCTCCACCAAGTCGCCACAGTCGCAAAGTGAGATCGGAACGGAGTTGAAGCCCAACAAAGCTCTGCAAGAGGTGATTCAGCAGTTCACTGATTTCGCTGAGACGATGTCAAAGGCTGGTTCCTCTTTGTCTCTGACATGGCCATCGCATGGCATGATGCCCGAGACGGAGCGAAAGGTCACCTTGTCACTTGAGGATGTCTCAGTGGTGAACTCCCAACCTACTCAGATGTGCCAAGCATTGAGCCGATTCTTCAAAGAAGTTGACCCTGTTGAAGACTTGCTCCACAACATGTTGAATGGCCTGAAGCCACCCAAAATCGTGGTGGTGGGAGACGATTCTTTGCGTGATCAGAGCGTTTGCACTTTGAGGATCAAATCAACAGCTAGTAGTTGTCGCCATCGCAACTATTTATCACACTAATTATATGTCCTCCGCAGGCTGTGGAACTTTCTTGTATCAGACTTATTGTCACACCTTTGGCTATTCGACGCTTTTTGTGCGTTGCCGTGTTCCGCAAAGTGAGGAGAACGCTGGGAAATCGACGATCTTGGAGATGTTGGCAATGATCCCGGTCTTTCCACGGAGGCGCAGTTGCAGCACGCTGCTGGCCATCCATTTGCGGCTCCGGCGGCATCCGGGCATGAGCAGAGCCACCTTGAGGGTCTTGCCGGCGGATGGACAGGAGACTGGTGAGGCTGGAGAGGTGGTTTGCATGGATATGCCACAGGAGAATGGATGGCTAATGGTACAGGAGCGGGGTGGCCTGTGAGTGAGTTGATGGTGTTTTGAAACCAACCAAATCAATCCTTGGAGATCTTTGATGTGCAACATATTTTGGCAGGAGCAAATGACCAGATTGCGGAAGGAGCCGCTGTATGGTTCGATTCAATGCACACGTGTCAATTTCAGTCTTTGCTACGACGTTTTCTTCTTGCCATCAGATATTATGGTTTTGTTCTTAAGCTAAAGATGTTTTTGGGAGCCGACTGAGGAGCTGACTAAAGAGTCTGGGATTGTTTCGGAGAAGATCATCGTGGTGGAAGTGCGCCGATCCGATGTGCCCTGCCTTGACTTGGTCGATTTGCCTGGACTGACGACCTCACCACCAGAGAAGGTGGGTGCCCGGAAGGGAAAAGTCGTTTCATTGAAAGTCGGAAAACGGCTCCAATTGTGCGTTAAGGTTTGTGGCTTCTGGATGATTCTGTAGTTGCTGGACTTTGGAAGATGTCTCAGTGTTTGGTGCCAGGCTGCGCAAATCAACAGGATCTATGAGCAACAGCTTGAAGACGATCGGCGGAATGGGAATCACAATATGTATTTGGCGATTGTGCCGGCGGCAGGTGACTTCGTGCCTACCAACCATAATGCTTGGAAGTTTATTGAAGAGAAAGGGCTTCAGGACTTCACACATACGTAGAAGCAAACAGACTGCAGACGACAGCTTTTGTACCATTTCGGAGTGTTTCTGATTAACTTGGCTGCAGGATCGAACGTTTGGTGTCTTCTCCAAATGCGACCAGAACAGCGATGCAGACTTCCTGCGGGCGGTGACCCTCGATGAGCCTGCAGAGCAGGAGCGACAGTTTCACGCTTGTTCCATTTCACGTTGTGTTTCTCATTCTTTGGGTCTAGCCGGACATTTCTAACTCGTAGAGCGTCGTGGTTTGATTGACATGTCGAGCTCTCATACAGTCGCGTGGCAGGATGGATCTTCACCTGAATCACTTGGTGCTGCCCGATTGTCGAATGGATGGGTGGTCACCATGCAGAAGCCGCCTGGCCAAATGGCGATGTTTGAGGTAGATAGATCATAGATCCGGACAATACCAGACACAACTGATTCGAAGAGAATACAAAACAACGTTTTACAGTGCCTGTGATTCAATCCCAGACGAGGCCGCCACATGAAGGGTATTTCAAGCACCACAACTACGAGCGTTTGAATTGGCAACTCAAGCAGGCGGGGAGTGCTGGATGATCGTCCGAGATTGCCATGAGACACCGTCGACCTGACAGGAAGAAGAGTGGTTTTCATCTCCCAAAGTCCCTGACCAGCAGCGCCATTTCCCACGCCTTTTGGCGGGTCAGTGTGCTGGGATTGCTCAGTTGGTGGCACGCTTGGAGAATGGCTATTGCTTGAACCTTAAGCAGAACTGGAAGGACCAAACCTGTTGCGTCACGTCCATGAATGAGATTCTGTGAATCTGTGCAGGAGCTGGCTATGGCCAAGACCTTTGAGAAAGAGGCCATAGTGGAGTTTGATATCAAGATGCTGGGAGTTGTTGAGGACCGGTGTCCGACAAACACCGTCCATCAACTGCATTTTGAATTTTGAGCGTTAAAAAGAGCTGGCAACCATGATAAACTGCATCGCGTGAAACATAGACTCCCCTCGGGCGCAAGTCGCATCATCCAGATGTATCCGTCGTGTCCTGAAGGACTTGGATCGACGACAACAACTGGCAGAAGAGGAGCAACTTCTATTTCAGTTCCTATGGTGATGTTGAACAGGGAGGGGCCGAGGTCAATTTGGGGAACACGGTCCTCCCGGATGTTCGTCTAACAATTTTGTTCTGTCGCTGGGCCGGAAGGTCCACACAGTGAAGTGTCGGCGCCGACACAGCGAAGCAAATCCGCGCAGGAAGTGCAGCGCCGACTTGGCCCCAATTCCGATGTGACCAAGGGGATGTACAACCGCTTTGTGCAAGATGTCTTGCACAAGCGGGTGCCAGATCAGGCTTGGATGGATTGCGATAGATTGTGTTTGGTGGAAACTGGCTGGTTTTGCGCCTTGCATTGGAGTCCAGCAAGAAAGCTCTTAGGTTACAAGTCTTAATTGAGATATATATCTACAACTACTTGTACGACTCTTGTCGCTTTGAGCAGTAGACTGAAAAACCAAAAAGCAAGTCTTACAAGTGTGGACGGACGATGCGACGAGCCCCCTCAGCGAGGTGCGCCAGATATTGGCCGACTTTGCTGTTGGGCAGAAGTGTTCGGGACATGCGTTCAAAAAGGTGCTCCAGAAGAAGAAGGACTGTTCAGCTGGGTTTTTCAGAGTGGGGTCGCCTTCTTAAGCCCAACATGAGTGCTACTGGGGGGATTTTTGGAGAGGTCGACGGATCCAATCGACAGTCTTTCTTCGATGTCAGGACCAGCTGACTGCTCTTTTGAATGATGTCTTGCAAAGGCAAAAGAGCAGCTTGACTTTTGCACGTGGGTCCGGACATGTGTAGCGAGCCACTGCACACCCGATCACTGCATAGTAATGCCGAAGAAGTTTTTTGACTCGTGACTCTTGACCTAGAGATGCTGAGGTATGGGAGACGAAGTGGGCCATATCCTGAGCTTTGAATCTAAAGTCTGTAAAGACGGCCCTTGCGACTTCAACATCTCCACGGCCTCCCTGCGGTTGTATCCATCAAAAGGATGCAAAAGCAAGTGGAACATCCAAGAGAGGCTCCAGGAGTGGAACTTTTCTTAAGAGCTATGCTTCTTTTTTGATGGCCGAAGAGAGTATATAGATCAGAAAAGCAGAACTCCAATCAAAAGCGACCTCAAGTTCTGAAGACTACTGTTTCTTTTTGGCAGGAGGGACCCATCATTCAGCTCTGCCATTACAAGAACTATTTGCAAGCTATCATGCAGAAGTACAAAGAGATGGTTGGAACAGCGGAAGCAAGCCTTCGAAACAGTGGTGAAAAGTTGATTGAACGCTTCTTCGATGTGGACTCTCTGTCTCCATATCTTGAGGCAAAGACTTCCCAAATCACTTGTTTGAAAACAACAAACCAACTTGCAAAATCTTCCGGCCTCTGCGTTTGCGACAGGTGAAATCTTCCTTCCTTTGCAGCAGCGATGGGGAGCGTGACTTCACTGATCGTCAGGTGATCATTAGTTGCAAATGGCAGGACTTTTTACACTCCTTTTTGCGATGCACCTCGGTCGAACAACCCAGTCATCACGGGAAAAAGCACCCTGCAACGGTTGCAGAGCGTTGCAGAGCGTTGCGGCGTTTGTTCAGGCTGTTATGAACATCTTCCTGATCCCGTGATGTTGCAAGATCTATCTCAGGGCATTGCAGTGGGGGATGAAACCAATGAAGCTCGTGCCCGTTTTGACTGCCGGAATCCTAGAGTCATTTCTTTGTTGGGCTTCTCAAGCTATTGTCCTTCTGGATTCTGTTGCCTTTCAACCATGCATTGTTTCTGGTTTAACTATGCTTAGCTTCCATCTAGCAAAGGCTCTTGTGCAGACCTGTGCACAAGCCAGGTCTTCAAAAGGAGTATGGCCTGGTGAAGACCGCCAAAGAGCATTTGATCAGGGCGCTGGAGATCGAAGATGCTGATCTCACCCGCATGAAGTACAAGTTTGAGGCGTCTTGACAGCCTGCTGGCTCCTGTTGGCTCCTTTTGGCCTGTTCCCATTGGTCCACCACTTGCTTTTTTCAACCGGAAGAGAGTCATGCCACCCATGTACCCATGTGGATGTGCACTTTGTCGGACCAGGTGGATCAGCATGCCAAGTCCGAACTCCAGGAGGTCGGAGGGAGCAGAAAAGTGATGGTGGTGACTTCTTTCCGTGTCAGTCTTCTGGTTTTTCCCGTCTTTGAGACTTCTTCGAGGCACCCAGTCTTTGCTGCGAGGTGTCTTCAGGACGTCACCAGCTTGTTTCAGCCATGTCAAAGACTGCGTGAATGACCCAGTCTCTTGTGCCCACAGCCTTCCGACAGCGAGTGTGTGGCGCGTGCGCGCGCTTCTGTTTCAGGAAGTGATGGGAGTTGGGAGGCGATCACGACTCCATCGGCAACACCTGAGGCGCAATTTCTATGGGATCCTTTGAGCGATTTGGATCGAATGGGGCGGGGCGAAGCTTTTGGAATGTTTTAGATATGATCAAGTTTGGGTTTCTTGGTCATGACATGACCCAGTACAGGTCCGACTGCAGGGGCCCTTTGAGCTGTCAAAACAAGTTTGGTAGCGGAGCCCGGTCAATCCGGGCTCCAGCTTCGCCTATTTCAGGTTACACTTAGGTGGCCGCTCGCCGCGTTCGCGAGCCATACCGCTGACGGCGCTTCCGATCACGACGGCGCTCCTATGTGCCACGCTGCTCGCCAGCTTTCTCACCCTCGCTTTCACCGCTGCGCACTCCGAGGTGAGTCGTGGCTGTGCTTTCACCCCTGCGGTCACCGATTACAAGACCGAACAGCTTGAGCACCTTGTGAACACCACCGATCTGACGATCCTCGGCTTTGAGGCCATTGTGCTCAACCTCGGTTACACGATTCAGGACGACGTGAATTACACGATCAAAGAGATCGACCTTGTGGAACCCTTTGCTCGCCTTTGGACCTCGATGGCGGCATCTTCATCCCTTCCATCTTCAGGAATTCCGTTGAGTGATTTCCGGCGGGATGTGCCTCCCGCATGACAAGCAGGTCTACCTGACTACCCGTTGAAGACCCACCCTTATATCAAAGGCATGAGCAACGGCTATGGCAAGGGCAAGTACCAGCAGGGATACTATGCAGATTGGGAACATCGGCTATTACCTGGTGCAGGTCCACAGCTGGACGACTTTGACTCCCTGAAGGCAAGTTCCACTGTCCACCACCTCAAAAAAACACCGCCTGACAAGACGGAGATCCTGCCTTGGAGAGAGCCTGTCGCTCCCTCTGAATCAAGCGATCCTTCAACCAGCTCTGACACTAACAGCGCCCAAGGACTTCTGAAGGAGCCAGACCTCCGAGAAGAGGGTGCCGCAGCAGGTTTGATTGGCAGTGAGACTCTCCGAGATCTATTGGAGACATGCTACGATCCTGCCAACTCCACTTCCATCACCTGGACGGAGTCGACTGCAACTATCACAGGCATCAGTGGCCAGCCCGCATTCGATTGCTTTCAGAATTTGGAGGCCAGCTATCTACACAGCAGATGTCATTGGCAATGAAGGATCCTTGTGTCCAGGAAATCCAGCCTTGTGTGAAATGGAGGCTTCATTGCATTGCTGCTGGTTCCAGAACAAGGATGGCTTGTTGGTCACTTGGGATACACGCCAAGAAGAGCAACCTCAGATGCACCTACTCCGAGTGTTCCTCACCGATTCAGGCCACTACCTGCTGCCATTGGATGAAGACGCCAGCATCATGGATCAGTCCTCAGAAGTTTGTCTTCTTCAGCCACTTGTCCGAGAATTCTCACCACTCCTATTTCCTTTGGCGCAAAGCAATCAGTGCAGCAAGCCCTGAGCGTAAGCGGAGTATCCACGACCAAGCCGATGGCATCGTGTTCTGCAACCACAGAGCCCTCTTCATCGTTCGTGGCATCAACAGATACATCATGGGAGAAAAGACCAGATCCACCGCAATCAGCACCTTATGTTCCACAACCGTCCAAGCAGGTAAGCAGGTCAGCTTTACCGGGACACTTGCGGAACTAGAGCATCCTTACAGTGAGGACGCATCTGCACTGGTCTCGCCTGAGCAACCCTCTGATTTGGCAAGGATTGCCCAGTTGACTCTGAACCTACCACGGCATGGCATCTCTCCGGTGCATCTGCAGACCTCCCAGTATACCAAGATCAGTTTCCTGAAGAGCTGACCGACGAGGAGAAGAAGAAGCTTCAGCACGACTACAAGGTAACGCCGGAAGAATAGTATACCAAGTCCAGCCACAGGATGGTGACACCACAGTCCTTCCTCCGAAGCGCGTCAGAAGAAGACCAATTGGCACATGTGGGAATGGTGCTCAGGGTCTTCTCGCCTGACATTGACTTGTTGCTTGGCAGGTCTCTTGGTGGGCTTTCCTGTGGACTACCGGTACGGCTGGAACATTGCCAATCCAGAACATCAACAGATGTTGACCACAGCTCTCCATCACTTCCAACCTGAAGTCCTTGTGGCTACTCCTCGATGCAAGTTCTGGAGCATCTCAGCCTCGCGAAGGAAATGGTCTGAGCTTCTTCATGATCGAGAACAAGAACGACCCACTCTGACCTTCATTCACAAAGCCTTCGAAGAGCAAGTTCAAGAACATCGAGGCTATTTGTTGGAACAGCAAGATTTCCAAGGTTGGCGAAGAGCCAAAAGAACCGATCAATGTGGTTTTGTGACCCAGTCATGACCGCAACTGGACTTGAAGCCAGCTTTAGATTGAATTCACCCATTCGAAGATGCAATGGACATCACGGCATTGCTCATGCGCCACTTCAGGGACAATATAAGGGTGTGAATTGCACAGCAGTGGCGGCTGCCTATCCCATCAGATTTTGCAAAGCCATTCTCGATGACATCTTGACCTACGTCCAACCAAAAGGCTTTCTCAGAGCTGTTCGCCGGCAAGTTTTGCAGAACCACCTCATCTACTACAAGCGCGAGAGATGTGAGTTTGGAGGAGCTGCCACCCGTGACATGGTTCACGCATACCTTGCTGGAAAATGTCGTTATGGCCGAATACCTAAGGAGAAGACATCAGGCTCGCTCCAGCTCTTCTACTCCCGCTGCAGACTTTCAACGCGCAGCTCGACAACGTGCAGGACTGAAGGAAGTCTCACGGTGGACGCCTCCATTGAGCTTAGTCGTGAAGAAGTCGTCTACTTCAAGCACTTGTGCTGCGAGATAGTGGAAGACAGCGTGAATGTGTTTGAGGAGGCAGACGGCAAGGAGATCAGCTAAGAGACCCTATCTGCTCTCAGTGGTTCGCACCTTGTGCAGGAAGATCTCTTCTATGTGCACGGTGTCAACATCACACTGCACCGTTGTGTGAAGGTCTTTCCAGAGCCAGAACTTCCTGCAGAACTTGCGCCTCTGCGACTCATCATCAGAGGCGAGTATAAGTCTTGGCGCGTGCGTCCTCTAGAAGACCTGCGCGAACTGTCTCCTAACCAGCAGCGAGAACAGATTGATGAAGAAGGATGGATGATCAGCTTCCATGGCAGTCATGAAGCACCGTTGTCCTCACAAGCACCAGGAATCGCAGGACCATCGTCGACACCAACTCCTGCTCCAGGAAACCAGGTCCTGGCACGCCTATTATGCCACCAGTGGCGTCTGAGATCTGGTGGAGCGCTGTCAACAGAGGATCCACCCTACGAAGAGGTCAGCCTGTGGCTCACTCGAACGGTCAAGCCACTGTACAGCCTGAGGCGAGTACTTCAGAAAGTACCAAAGGCAGCCAAGGAAGACCAAGCACTTTACAGCAGCTGACTTCATCAGTGTGTTGCAGCGACCAGCAATGCCCACAGAAGTGACCGATCTCGCAGGAGAAGCCATGGCATCTTGCAGCGTGCGCCGAAGATATTCCCGACTACCTGCGCGGCCGAGAACCAAAGCAACTTTGGCGGCGCACTTTGGAGATGAAGTGGAGTTCGACATCTACTACCTCTGGAGCAAGCCATTTGCCTTGCTGATCGATGTGGCAACTCGCTATGTAGCCTTCGAGTTGACCTCTCGAGAAGCCACTGACATCTTGCAGGGCATCTACACTCACTGGATCCGCTTCTTTGGTCCAATGAAGAACTTCATCTCCGATCAAGAGACTGGCTTGACAGGGCACCATGTGGCGGCAGAGTTTGAGAGGCTGGGGATCACAAGATGTTCATAAGGAACCACCAATTCTGCAGCTGGCAGTCAACATACTGGAACAGGTTTTGTTGAAGGACATGTTGGACGCATCAAGCTGACAATGCTTAAGATGAGAGAGAGCTTTGGCGGCTGTTCAGCAGGCAATCGCAGAAGATGGGATTGCCTGTGCAAGCCGTTCCAGGCCATCCGAAGCTCGACGTGACAGGTGGAAATCTACCGAGACGATGGCTGGAGAGGTCCAGCCACGTCGGCGCCTTCTTCAACATGGACGTGGATGTCGGAGAAAGTCTGACTACCATGATGAAGCTGACAGAGATGGCGTCGCGCTTCAAGCAGAATTTTTCATCGGCGACAAGATCACCGTGCAGCGTGATGGAACGAAATGGCGACAAGTGCCCAAAGAGCCGAATGAAGATCAGCTGAATCAGTGAAGTCCTTTCCTTCATGGTCCACCTGGCTTCGTCGCCCAGTGCATGGCGTGATCCATGGACAGGCGCTGAAGGGACTCCAAGCACCAGCTGGCAGCAAAAGAACAGTGCTGTTGTGGCTCAAGCGCGCGGAAAGCTATGCCAGGATCCAGAAGGACAACGACAATTTCCTACAAATCAAGAAGGCCAGCTACCGGGACCGTGACTTCTACTTCGATCTCCACACCGGTGGCCGCTACATGTCCTTGGCTGAGGAGAATGCAATCACCGAAGAAGACCTTCCCAGACTGTGGAAAGAAGTGGAGATTGCTGATGAGAAGGAGATGGGCCAATTCGTTGACGAACACGCCTTTGAAAAGCGAGCTCTCCGAAGTTCCTGAAGGCGCCATACCATAATCATTGACGGCGTCTGGATTCGTAGTTGGAAGCCCAAGCAGTCAAAGTGGATTGTCAAGTCCAGGATGTGCGCCAGACAATGCTTCGTCAGCGCATGCTCCGTCTACTCCTGCCTCACGATTGAGCCAGAGAACCCTAATGTCCACCTCAGCAGTGATGAACACTGAGCCAGAGAGTTGGAATGTCTCAGGAGCTTTCCTCAAGCCCCTGACCTTCCCAAAGATTCGCGAGATCCTTCTACAGCAAGGCATCAAGACACCAGTCCGAGCAGCGGTTGTGATTCCACCATGGGGTTGTTGGCGGCATTTGGCCACCAAGGACTCTTCCTTCAACCTTGAACCTTGGGAAATTCCATTGTGTGGACTTTGGTGTGTAAAGCCCGTCTACGGCCTCAACGATGCACACGTGGCGTGGCAGCTTAGGACAGTTCCTGCAGAAGAACACAGGAACGCCAAGCCATCTTGATGACAGTTTCTACTTTTGGAAAGACTCCAAGCTGTAACCTTCTTTGCAAGCAGTGCTGGCCACTCACGTGGGCGATCTGGCAGTTGTGGGCTCAGGCAAGTTCCTGGACAACCTCTACGACAACATGTGCAAGGAGTTCGGCAGGCTGAAGCCTTCACCTGAACCTGCAGGAGCTGATGACAGAAAGCTGACGGCGGAGGTGACACAGTTCCGCTCAGTTCTGGGTGGACTACTATGGCTTTGTAGCACGCGTCTTGACCTTGTGGCTGATGTGGGAGTTCTACAATCAGCAGTGTGTCAAGCCAAAGTTTGCCACCTTCGCCAGGCAAACCAGTTGGTCAAGCAGAAGGCATGTGCGCCAGATCGATTGAACCTGGGCCTACACTATGATTTCTGGCCTCTTGGAACAAAGCTGCGGTTGCAATGCATCCATGCGTGCAAGCTCAGCGACGAAGGGTCGTGCCGCGTGCTCGCGTTGCTGATGCCCGAGCTGGATCAGAGCGTCCTGCGGCAGGATGAAGTTGAATGCAGCCAGGAAGATGTTAGTCGGCTTTCAAATTTCGGTCACATTTTGTTTGCGCGCGGTGGTGAAGCTAAGCGGGTCTCATATTCCACCTCACATGCGGAACCCTCTCAGCAATAAATGGTCTAGAGACCAGCAGCATGGTAACCTGGTTGCCACCCGATTGACAGAGATTTGGCTTCCAGACGAAAAGCCAACGTTGAAGAAACTGGTTCGCAGCTGTTTCCAGTGGACACCGCCACGGATTGCCGAGACTTCTTCGAACTCAGCGCTGGAGGCAAGACAGTCCCTCAAGACAAGACACAGCGGCTGTACATCTTAGCCTTCAATGAGGCTAGAGTGACAGGTCGAGTGCTTGCGGACGGGCTTACAAAACCTATGACCTCCCGTGTTCTGATGCAGACGTTGAGCGCTGGCTATGTCGAATTTGGCAATGAAGGAGATCACCATTGCCTCTTGCGGCGTCTTCCCACTCTGGAAGAACTTAAGGAGGACGACCTGTATAAGGACGACCTGACTTTGCGGCAAGAGGTGCAGAACAACAAGAGGGCTTTCTTGGCCATGACGCTGGGTTTCTCCATTCCCTCAGCGTTGAAGGTCTTTGCAGCGTTTTCTTTGGTCACCATGGCCACCGCTCATGAGACCGAGCGCACGGAGGACAGCAGTGGTTGGGGATTCTTTGCAATGATCCTCGGAACATTTACACTCCGTCGAATGATCGAAGAATGTTGCAAATGGCTGATGACAGAGAAGAAAGTGAAGGTGAAAGAGAAGGCAGAGAAGACTGAGAAGGCTTTGACACCGACATCTACCCCTGAGAGTTCACCTAACGTTTCACGAAGAGAGCTGAACCTAGATGGACCATCGAGCTCAAGCAGTACAGTGGTGATCCACGCAAGGATCCCGGAGCACATTTGGGGTACAGAAGCCGGTACCCATTTCCACATAGATCCGCAGTGCAGGAGCCTGAAGGCATGCAAGTTTGGAGTGACCAAGAAGACATTGTGCGGTCACTGTGCCGACAAGGCCCTGAGCAAAAGCAGAGTTTGAAAATTTCTTGGTCATGACATGACCCAGTACAGGTCCGACCACAGGGGCCCTTTGAGTTGTCAAAACAAGTCAATATCTGTTTGAAAGGGGGAACACAGCTTGCTCTGGTCTATTTACTAGAGGGCTGAATCTTGCAAGATCTGAGCTTCATTCCCGTCAAAATAGAGCCAGGCTCGTGACGAAGCTGGTGTTCAGCAGAAGGACGACGCTGACCAAGAGGAGTGCTGATAGACCGGACAGCTTAAACGGCTTAAACATAGTGGTTCAGCAGCTTCGGCTGAAGCTTTGTTCGGGAGCGAATTCACAGAACAACACACAGTCCCCACCATTTTGGTGTTTTGATCCTCTTCGTTCGGAGGAGCATTCGAGTCTCGTGGGGGCAGAGGTTCGAATTAGCGGCGTCTCAGCTGCGACTGCGCTGAGACAAGCTTGTCGGTGGTATGGGGGAACCAGAATACGCTACCACCATTCATGTGGCAAAACAAGAAAAGAAAGAAAAGACTAAGTCGACCACTACAGAATGTCAGTTGATTGCTCAACTCTGCAGAGGTTTGCAGTCGGCTGTGGATCTCAACGGTCTTGAGGGCAAGCTGTTGTTCTTTGACAAGGGCAGGTGGCAGGCCGATGGGTTGAACTGAAATCACGAGCTCAGACCAACGTCGCGCGCAAGTATCCATTCGTGAGGTCTCGCTCCACGAGAAGGACTCATTATATCAGGCCTCGGAGGTGATCAAGTTGATCAAGCCCGAGAATTTGCTCCTCCGAGGCACCTGCTCGGTCACATGCTCAGCGCTGGGATTTCACCATCTTGCAGGTGCCGATGGGATGTGGGAGTCCATCACGTCGAAAGCCTCGCAGGCCCGGAGGGGTTGCTTCCACTGAGCTGGGGGTTCCTATCAACCGCTGACCTATGCTGACCTGTTTGCGGGTCAAAACCTGGAGCCCCGAAGCACCAGGTAGACCTCCAGGTAGGATAGGATAGGATAGGTAGATCAAGCAAGGTCTCCTGATTTCGTCTACAGTTCTAAAGCCTTCAAGGTCTCCACTTCGCTGGCTGCGCCACAGCAACGCATCTCCACCGAGAACCAACTCTTTGACGCTCGGCATCACTTGTGGCCGACTCCGGCGGATGTCCAGCGCTGACCCATTGGTGCAGTTGGGTTTTCGGACAAAATGCCGTTGTGGTCAGTGTTCCAGAACTGACATGGGTCTATGCCTATGCTGTAGCTTGCATGCCACTGCTTGAGCATTTATATAAGTGCAATGGTGTGAATCCGGGTGGTTCATTAGGTTCAATCCTCAGAGTCAAACAATGGTCAGATGCTGCGTCAGATGCTTGAGACTGATACTTGAAGCGTGGCAGCGCCAGGAATGGGACCAATTGAATGAGGAGCACGACGCCGCCGAGTCTGCTGAAGTACAACAGGAGTGGTAACAAACGTATGTAACGAGGGAAACATGGCACTGCATTCCCAAGCTGCAACATCGAGTATCCCAAACCGTAGGAAAAGACTGTGCTAAAGGCAAGCTTGTGAACGTCCCTTTAAGGCCTGCCGCTTCCTTCTTGACGATACCAACGGACCCTGCAGATGTACCGGGGTGACCCTTCACCCTCTGACCGATGTCGCTTCCGCCGGTTGCGGTGGCCGAAACAGGTCTTCAGTGGATGACTCATGGGGTCATCATCAGGGTATGTGTGTATATATACATATATATGTGTATAGTAAAGTACAATGGGGAGTCAATTCGGGTTCCGACCAGAGTCTGTTTGGAGTCCAAATCATTTGTTGTTAACTCTCAGCCTTCACCGTCGCCAGGAGTCGGGCGCAGACTTGAACGGCTCGGCTTCTCCGCCTTTGCTTGGCGGATCCCCAAGCGAAGAGCTCAGTCACTTGGCATGACTTTCTTTTTCACACTGCGGCGGGTTGGTTGCAGATGCATTCGGTTTTGAACGCCTGCCTTTTTCTTTGCCCAGGGCCACAAAGCCTACTGTAGGTTCATTGTGATCACATGCTAGATCCACATGACTCATGGCAGTTCCGTGGTGCTTCGTCGTGGGTTCGGGGACTTTGTGGAATTAGACATGGAACTGAAACATATTCACACACTTAGATCACCGCGGACTTGATAGGCGCGCAACGTGCACTATAAACAGCAAGCGCAGCGCGCCCAAGCGTTTAGCTGTGTTTTGTGCGTGCAGACTGTTTTTGATTGCTTCGCACATATAAACCAAATATCATCGGCGTATCGGCGCCGCACCCCTTCTCCGGATATCGGCATATCGGCGCCGCACACTTAAAACCCGCCACGCCGGCACGCTGCAAATCATTCTGAGCTCATGGCGCTAGTGCCAGGCAATGAAATTCGACAGAAGAAGGAGCAGCTGAAGGCTCAAGGCTTGAGTGGAAAGAAGTGTGACCAGGACCCAGAGGCTCCCAGACATGCATTGTCATCCATTCGTCGAGGCTTTGACGTGGGGCCAGGGTTAGGAGGAAGCATTTAGCGCAGCCAGTTGTAGTGACATTCTCCATGAGTTACAGTACTAGAAGAGCCGCATATCGAAAGATCTACTCAAGATGTGCTTGCTTGTCAAAACTTACAAGACAATGCAAGACAATGGAACAAGTCGACGCCACTTGGAGTTGCCTTCGGTGCTAGCGTCGTCGGCGAATCGGCGCATGCTGGATTATTTGGCCCATCTCCAAGCCATCCCAACAATTTGCCCAGGTGAAAGAGATGGTTGAGAAGCTCCAGCAGCTGAAGAGTGCGAAAGCCACAGCGGCACCAGCCGCGGCTGCGCCGGCATTAGCGGCTACAATTGCTTCGGTGTTTCCCTTTGGCACACTGGCACCAGAGACACCACCAGTGCCAGCTGCTGTGGCTAATGGCGCGGATCTGGATGCTGAGATTGCAGCTTTGGGCAGCTTGGTGATGGTAATGAAATGGTGGACGCTACTAGGAACAAGAAGCTAGTAGGGGCTCCTGGCATCGCTGCTAGGAGCAAGGATGCTACTATAGGGGCTCTTGGCCTTACTACTAGGAACAAGAAGCTATTAGGAGCAAGAAGCTATGGTGACGAAACCGGGCTGACCGTGACATCCAATTCTTGGGGTGAACGGCGCTAGTGCCAGGCAATGAAATTCGACAGAAGAAGGAGGAGCTGAAGGCTCAAGGCTTGAGTGGAAAAAAGTGTGACCAGGACCCAGAGGCTCCCAGACGTTCGGTGTGTTCAGTTTTGGCGATTTAGTGTTTTCATGCTTTTCCGTTCTTTGAAAGAGTGAGTTCAGAAGCCGTGCGAGTTGACAACAAGTGTGCCCTATAGGTAGTACATGTGAAATGTGCTTCCACGATAATAAATATACATATATACGTAGTTTTATTATGATGCTTATGTTTGTGTGTGTGTGTCATATGCACACTGGCCAGTCTTGCAGGTGAAGTCCATGGTGGAGAAGTTGCAAGAACTGAGAAGCCGAAAGTGAGATGCCATCCGAAAGTGAGTCCAACAAATGCTGGCACCGTTCACACGCTCTGCTTGCTGCTGTTTGGATGCTGTGTACCTTCAAACGTTGGTCTGGGTTTCATATTTTTACCCCTGCCAGTATGAGGAGAGTGAACCTCGAAAGCCTGAAGTACAAGGCACTGCGCTGGGGAGCGCGCAGAGTAATTAGCACGTTATATTTGTTTCTGGCCATAGACAATCTGCAGCTGAGCCAGCTGCTTGCCATGTACAGTTGTGGCCCGGCACAAGTGGTAGCAAGTGGGGAGGAATGACCATGTACATGTCCAAATTGTGATTATTAATCCAAACCATCGAATGAGTGTCTGGTTTGTTCAGGCAAGTTTCTTCCCGAGCAGGTGAGTCGCCTGGTCAAGCTGCTGCATTCAAAAAGAGTCCTTTTCATATGTTTCATTCTTTTGTCAAGTTGCAGAATCCAATGTGCAATGTGGTGTCAAGGACCCTGCTGTTTAGATCCACATTCTGAGAACAAACGCACCCGCAAAGGATGCTGGGTCCACATGTGCAAGACAGTGTTCGTGGTGAGTCTGCCGTGGGTGTTGTTTGGTGTTTAGGAGTTGCTTTTTTGCTCAGTTGTGACCATCTGAGATTGGTTTCAGTTCTTCCATGCTGTGAGTCAGTGCTTGCGCATGCCACAGGGGTTCGAAGTACGGACTTGCCACGGGTTGTGTATGCCTAGTCTCAAGAAACATACGCGCGCAGATTGTCGCTCCAGAATTCTCTGCCGATTCTATACCGATTGTCGCTTCATTCGCTCAATGGGACTACGACTAGTTGGCTCACGACTGTTGGTTGTCCTGTTGGTTCGCCCGCAACGAATGAGACTCGGACAAGTGACAATGTCCTTTTCGGCCTCTCCAATATCCGATGGTGTTTTGAGCCGTTGCTGCGATGGCCCGTTGACACATGAGTTCATGAGTTCTGATTCTTGTCTTTCATATTCCACAACCAACGATAGACTATTACCGTCAGTCTTCCATTCAGACATCAACTTCTTGATGCTTTTGTCTGCTGTTCTTTTTTGTATGTGTCGGTGTCGTCTCATAGGAATCAAGATGAGACAGAGGCTGCTGTTTTGAAACAGGTCACGAGGATCTGCTGTTTCTTGCTGATGACAGGTCGACAGCGTATGGCTAACCCTCAAAGGAAAAAACCGCTCGGCCGCAAACCCTTTTCCGATATGCTTGAGTCAAAAGGGCAGCTGTCGCTGCACACATGTGAACCGTTCTGGTGTCTTCTCGTTTTGAGCGTGTCATCCACACTCCCCCTTCAGTTGATCGTCAGATCGAACTGACTGAAAATCTCTATTTTCTCAAAATTTTGAGCTTCTGTAGGCTCAAACCACCCTGTTTATTCTTTTCATCTCATTTCCCTTCTTCATCATCTTTCTTTTCACTTTTCATTCACTTCTTTCATCGGCCATGAGGGGCACACCTCGAGCAAGGAGTGTACCTGAGCCGATCTAGCCCAAGATCCGGGCAGCTTGAACAGGATAGGAGGTTTCCACCCCATGAGGCTGCCCACAAGGTCACATTCGTGGGTCGACCTCCCACTGAGCGAACACAGGTGGCACACCATCTTCCTCTTCTTCGCTCTCCAGTGTTTCGAGCCACCATAATCACAATTCGCCCGGGAGTGAAAGGCTTTTCCAAATTTGGTCGTCAAAACCAATGGTCCTTCATCTTGATTGGTCACCGGGGTTGGATCCCCGATTGATGGTGCCGGTGGCATAGTTCGTGCCTTCGGCATCGGACCACAAGATCCCCCTGCTTGTGAGCTTGAGGATGTAGGGTTTCGATCATCAAACCCTTTCGCACTTTCTTTGACCTCATTCAGGCCGTTTCCTTGATTTTCATCTTTTCCTCCAGGTGTTGGAATTCTCCCTGGAGATGTGGTCACAGTGGCATTCCACTGGCCACAAATGATAACTTCTTGATGAGAGCCCTGACCTGGAAGTGGAGGAATCAGGCCTTGAGGAGGAGTCAAAGGAATCTCTGCTGGAAGGCTTCTTGGCCTCGACATTTCTGGTGTCCTTGGAGTCATTCTTGACCGACTCTCTTCTTCTTCTTCTTCTTCATTTTCTTCATTCCTGGCTTTCACGCCTCTTGATCTTCTTCCTGGTGGCGTTGTGGGAGGACTTCCCACTTGGGTGGATCTGGTCAATCCACTTCGGGATGGGCACCACCATCGTAGTACTCCCTCCTTCACAACCCACCAAAACAGGGACGTCAGGCAAATGACCATCACGGTGTAGAAAGCCACAAGAGCTTCGATGCTCAGCTGGAATCCATGATCATCTTCTCCGCCTTGTGCCGACGCTGCACTGACTGAGGCGGCAATGATGAGCACCTTGAGGATCTTTTCAGCCTTTTCTCTATCGATGTCTCTTGAACTTCCTTCGAATTTCCTTTCGTCTTCTTCCTTTTGGCTCTTCTCATCATCTACTGTATCTTCTTCTGTTCTTCCTTTTCCGGCCTTAGGTGTCCTCTTCGCCCATGCCAATCTTCTCCTTCAGCGCCTCAAGCCTCGTGGAGTCAGAGCCTTCGTGCCTATGTCAGCCACCATGGATTCTCCTGGAGTGTGGCCAATGCTCCAACTTCCATCTTGAATCGCCTGTCTGGCGAAGGTGGAGCAAGTTCTTAGATGCCTGGTTCTCCACGATCCTCCTTCTGTCGTAAGGATCGACATGCCCGATTGGCTGTCAGTCCACACCATTCGTTGGAGGCCACCGACGATCTCGTCTATGATCACCCCAATGGACTCTCCTGCGATCATGCCCTCTATCACTTCATTCATTTCTGCCTCTGCTGTGGAGAGGGTCACTGTGCTCTGCTTTCCGGAGCGCCAAAACACTGGGTGGTCTCCCACCATCGCAAAGCAGTAGCCATGTGACTCCTCGGAGTGAGGAGCGAATGAAGCGTCCGTGAGAAGACATTGATCATCAGCTCTTTTTCTTCATTCACTTCATACTTCAGCCCTTGGTTCTTCGTGGCTGCAAGATATCCCTTCAGCCAGGACTGCTCGTGGAGCCTTGAGGATATTGGATCCCATCCGAGACACTGCATACATCATATCTGGCCGTGATCGAGTCACCAACCACAACATTTCTCCCACGGCTTTCTGAGAAGCCTTGATCTCAGCCTGTGACGGTGGCGAATCATCTTCTTCCATGGATGCTTGGTCTCTTGTGATGGGAATCTTTCGATGCTTCAACGGTCCTGGTTCTGACTCTAAAAGGTCAGTAGCATAGCCTTCTTGGGTGATCATCCAACTCCATCGCCCTGTGTCCTCTTCCTTGGTTCTTGAGATCTCCATGCCCAGAAACTTCACCGGTCCATCGCTGATCTCCTCAGGGCCTGAGGTCTTCCAGGTTTTCTCAAAGGTGGACCTGATGGCATCTTTGATCCTTTTGGGTCCAGTGATCAGGATGTCATCGACATATGTCATCACCAGGGCTTGAGGCGCAGCCTCGTGTCATCTTCTTCTCCTGAAATCTTGATCTCGAATCCTTCCATCGTTCTATCTCTGTGATCTGCCCATAGCCTTGGAGACCTCCAGAAGCCATACACTGCCTTCTGTGGGAGGTAGTAGGTGTCCTTGGGCATGAACTTTCGCTCAACAAAGAACGTGGGTGGAAGGACGAGCATCAAATGTTCATCTTCTTTCGAGACCATGTCAGCATTCAAGAAAGCAGTTTTCACGTCAATGCCGACTGCTTCCCATTGGAAAAGAGCTGACAACAGCACCAAAATTCTCAGGGCCGACGCATCACCTCCTGAGTAGTTCATCTCATCAGCCTGGCGGTCCTCATAGTTTCCGCACACCACCCACCTGACCTTCCTCTTTGGAGGTTTTCTGGCTTTCTTTGTAAAGACGAGCTTCGAGGGATGAGTTCGACTTTCAGCCCCTTCTCCTTGGCCATCTTCATAAATTCGTCCACTTGGTTGACATCCAACTGGATGAGGGCCATCTTTTTGGTAAGAAGCGAGTGGACCTCGTCCCCAGCCGGGGCTTTCCACTTCTCCCACTCCTTGGCCACCTCCTTTGGGGAGATGATCTTGGTTTGGAGCACTTCTTCATCATCCTCCGGGCCTCCTTCATCCATCATCTTTCGAAGTCTTGCGATGATGAGGACCGAACACATGGCCAGCTCCGGGTCGTCCTGTGGGAGTGTCATCATCTCCTCTTCCAAGACTTTCTTCATCCTTGACCTTTCAAGTCTTCGCTTCTCCTCTTCATCTTCAGCAAGCTTCTGAATCCTTTTGATGGTGGTCTTCTCTCTTAGCCTCCCCTCCGCAGTGTGAGACCATCCAAAACATCTCTTTCGAGGGCGATCCAGTGAGCCTCCGAAGGCCGTTGATCCAGCTTCTTCATGACATACCTTGTGAGTCTTGGAGCTTCTCCTGCCTTCATCACCCAGTGCCCATGGTTTTCTGTCGACGGCCCCAAATACATCACTTCTTCCATTGTGGGACTGAGGTCGTCTTTCTGCCACCTTCTCTTGCGGACCATCACCTTCTGCATGAATGGCGGAAAGTCTGGGACCTCGTAGTTCCTGTGGCGCCTCAGAATCTCATTCACATATCGACAGGCCCATGGCCACCACTTGTGATCTCTTTCACCTTGAAGCAGGGTCTTTCGGATCATCGTCTTGACCCTTTTGACTGCTGACTCAGCCCTTCCATTGCTTTGTGGCTCTCGTCACCTGCAGTTCGAGTCAGAATGATTCCCCTCCTCCTGCACCAAGCCGTGAAGTGTCCTGAGAACTCGTGGCCTTGGTCGGTGTGGATGTGATTCACCCAATAGCCATCAATCCTCAGCCGAAGAATCATCTCCATTGTGGTCTTAGTGACTTCGAGTGCTTTCTTGGAGAGCATGGGCAACGCCAGATGGAATGTCCGGATTTTGAAGTCTTCTTGACGTTCTTCTCCTTCTCTTTCACCTCCCCCCTGGTTCCACGTCACCCTCCTCCTGTTCCATCTCCTCTTCATTTTCTGCTTCTTCTTCTTCCTCCAGGTCGCGTCCTTCTTCATGCCCGGCTTCTTCTTCCATCTCCTCGGCTTCAATCATCGGGAGATCTTCTTCTTCTCCTTCTCCTTGTTCTTGGGCCTCGACATTTGGGACATTGGCTCCCTTCGGAACGGCCCAAGTCAGCGCCCCGACCAAGAAGTATCGCGAGAGATGTCCACCTTGATCGTATGCAGGTTTCAGAGGACCTGCCGTGTCGACTGAGAGAACTCCGGCTCGAGGGTTCTGAACTCTTCGATG